TGCAAGAAAGCCACAGGAAACTGTGTGTAAAGGTCAGAGGTCATGCAGGTATGATGCCTCAGGACTGGCCCACCCTGCTGTTTTGAGGTAGGGTCTCTCCTTTTGTCTAGGACTCACTGAACTGGCAAGGCTGGCTGGCCACTGAGTCCTAAGATTTGCCAGTCTCTGACTCCTCAGTGCATCTTAAGCACAAACCACCATGCCCAGTTTTTTCACACAGGTTCTGGGGGTCAAACTCAGTCTACTTAACCAAATGAGCTAAATCCCTAGGCCCCAGAAAAATATTTCTAATAAAATGGTGCACTCTCCAGCCTGGAGCCCACTTCCCACTTCCAGTCTAGCAATGAGGGCAAGAGCTGAACTGCAAGGACCCAACAACCCAGCGAGGTCCATTCTAGTAGTCTCAACAGGAAGGTGAGAAAAGCATTTTTCAGATCACAGAGGCATCAAAGGACACTCAGGCTGATCTGTGCCTCAGCACTTCCCTCCCATGTCCCCGTGCTAACAAGGCCACCTGGGGTAGGCAAAGACAAACGGACTGCCAGGCAGGCTGTCTGGGTGGCAGCCAGTTCTGCCGGCTGAGCCGCAGTGCAGCTGTGGCCAGGTGCTCAGCCCTTTGAGCTCTAGTGTTCCCACGTGTAAAACAAAGACGCTAATGGGCACTAATATGATTAGCAGAAATAAGTGAGCCACACACACAGAGTTCGCAGGTAGAGAAAGCCTTGAAGAGCAGCCGTCAACCCCTGCCCAGACTGGAACACCTGTCTCTGAAAACGCTGGCTGGTCTTGAGGGTCCCTCTCCGGTTTCCCTCCAGCCTTTCTCTAGAGGTCTAAAGGCTGGGAAGTGAGCTTATAGTCACACAGGTCTTAGCTGCTATTCCATCGTGTTTCCCTTCCCCGGTGATCGTGCCAGTGCACAGCTTTTTCTGTGCGTCTCGGCCACAGGAGAAACGTCTATATAAAGCCAGGCCATTTTTACAGTTGACACCGTCCCAGCCATGCCGACCAGCAACCGCATCGTCTGTCGCTGCGGACACACGGTCTTCCACGTTTCCACACAAACGTTGGAACAGCTTGTCAACTCCGTCCCTAGAAGCCTCCCGGACTATGGAATCGCATGATCCACAAATCAGCCTGGGGAGAGAGAAAAACCGAGCACACTGTCCCACAACTGAGTGGAAGGGACAGACGACTCCATCATACAGGCCTCCTCTGGCTTTTTCAGCAGTGCCTAGCAATGTGTCCCCACCACCACACCACACACCACACAATAACCCTCCACACCACACCACACCACACCACACCTCCACACCACCACACCACACCATACACCATACCACAACACACCTCCACACCATACACCTCCACACCATACACCTCCACACCATACACCTCCACACCGTACACCTACA